AATGTCTTGTGATGCTGTGTGTGTGTGTGTGTGTGTGTGTGTGTGTGTGCATGCAGGTTGCAGGTATTGTGAATTGTTTGTGGACTTGATGATGTGCTCAGATCGTGAACTGATGCACGTCGTCTTATCTCTGGACTATAACATACAGTACTATACGCACTGTTGGGTCATCTTATCCTCTGAGCTGATTAGGTTCAAATATTTAATCCAGCATTTTGGATCTTCGTGCGTTTCCACAGAGAACGTTTTTCAAGAAGAACTGAACTAATTAAAGTTTTGATGATAGATCCTGCCAATATCCCAGACATTGTGTGTGCGTTAATTCCCGTGTGCCTGCAAGGTCTATGCAAGCTGGGGTTAAGTGAGTTTGTACTTCAAGGGTTTTAAATCACTTTAAGGCCCTAGTTACTTTTATTGGTAATTTTACAGATGTAAGATGTTTAAGAAGTAAACCAGTTCAAAGGAAGTCTCATTTTCTATTCAATATTGTTCACTCTCCTGTTATATTAATAACCCTGGAGAATGGATGTAAACTGCTGTTTTAGGTTTAGAGAATGTGTTTTTACTTTCCTTCTTGGTCACAAGATTTCATTTGTACAATTCTGACTCATTTTATTTATTTTTATGTATTAATCACTGTTTTTTTCTGATAATCCAAAGTATGTGATAACATACTCCTGGGGATAAACTGGCGGACACATTTACTGGCTTGCTGTTTACAGGCTACTTTGTCGGTTGACAGTGCGAGATAATGTTTTTCAGCGTGGCTGGGTGGCAGCTGACTAGGTAACCATTAGCTTGCTTGCTCGCTAACGTTATTAACTTTTGTATTATGATAAATGGTGCTGATTTAGCCAACAATAAATTATGGAAAAGTACAAAGTACTAATTGGTTTCAGCTTTTTGGACCAAAGCTACAGTAAATTATTCTGAAACAACTATTTCTCCTTGTTTCTCCATACCTTTTTAATTTCAAGCCAGTTTAGGAAGAGGGCCAAATTGTGTATTTGTTAACCTGACCTGAGTTCCAGTAAATTTGATTTTAAATTTTTAAAATAGTCTGTTGTAGTAGTTAATATTTTTCTGATTTCTATATGTTTAAGATGACCAACACTGCTGCAACGTCCCAGTCAAAGTAGATCATTTTGACTTTGCAGTTTGAATGAACTACTAACAGTTTTTCCTGTTTTTTGAGCAGCAGCAATACGTTCAGAGCTAATTACAGAAAGGGGAACAAGAAAAGAGCCTTTTTGGCTAGCTTGCAGAAAGAACCCATGTCTCAAATGCACCCCTCCTTCAACCCCTTTAGTGCATTCTCTCTCCCTCCCCCTCCTCCGTCTCCCTTTCACTCCTGTGTGCCTCTGCTCACGTACACACCCTCCTGGAAGGGCATTGTTTGCAGAGAGTACCAACGTAGAGCTTTTCAAACACCCATTACCCCTGTTGAGTTCAGCTCAGTTCCAGCCAGGCTTCAAGGTCAAAGGCAAACAGTTTCAGTTCAGATGTGACTTCAGTCCAGTAGCATGAAACACCAGGCTACTGGTACCTGACAACTTTTGTTATTGTTTTATTAGATTAAAGTCGCAGTGATTACAGTACACTTTCAAAAACCCCTGATGGCATTTTAAGTCTGTTTTGGCCAATTATTCTGTTGCTGTTTCTAAACACAGAGGTTGGTGCACTAATCTTCTCTGTAGCTCCATTATGTTCTGTACAAATGATGATCTAGGTGATTACTCAGCTAGGATTTGGGTTTTTTTCTCTCTGGCATCCTGCCTAGCATAATAAAAAGATGAGGATACAAAGGAGGGAGAGATGGTTAATAACCATGTCCCCTAGTGTCACCATAAGTGGCTGACAGGGTCTCGCTTGGCTGCATGGTTAACAAACCAGCAGTGTGTTTCACTCACTGCTAAATTGGAACTGACAGTGTTCATGTGAAAACCTTGGACCTGCCTGGGTTTTTGGCCTCTTTGTGAAAACATTGCTTTTGTTTTGTGTGCATATGATCATTATGCAAAATAAATTCTGTCGTAGGTGTAAGTGAGAGCCCTAACTCTCCTTACAGCACAGATAGATTCCTTCCAGAATTGGACAGTCTGATGGGGGTAAATATATAAAAGCTGAAGTATATTCAGGTGGTGTGACTCCTCTGACATCTATGAGAGGGAGAGGATTGATGGGGAAGTGTTGGCCACAGACCAATACACTCAGCTGATTGGATGCATTGTGCAGTGGGGAGCAGCGAGGATAAAGGGAAATAAAGGGCTTCTGGTGGTGATAGTGATACTGGTGCTGGGGGGGGTTCATTCATGTGTAATTGGGTGGGTGTGTTACAATGTGTACACAGCTGCAGTCTTCAGCTGTGTTTGTTTCATGTGCATATGCGCACATGCTAGCACATGATAGGCTAATAGCTGTTGCTTTAATTGGCCCTAACCCTTGGCCCTCTGGCCATCATGTTTTATTGACTGCAATAACTGGGTCAAAGTATCAAATGTCCTTTTGTTACCAATACCAGTTACTGGTAAAAGTATAACGCCTTGGTGTGGCACAACTTTTTGAACCACGTGAGGATATTTTTATGTTTTATTATTTTTATTATCAATGTAAAAATCTGTAAAATACAGTTCATGTAGTACAGTCAAAAAACATACCTCTGTGTATTTTGACCTAAATTATTATGATCCATACACACAACATTGTGTTTTTTTGCTTAAGGTTTCTAATGAAAATATGGTGCTGTGCTCGCAGATATTATATAAAAAGACAAACCTACATACATTATACAGTCAGTTGCCGGTTTATTAGGTATACCTACAGTAGTTAAAACTAATGCAGTCTAATACAACAGCAAATCCTCCCTTCAAGTTAGAATCTTCCTGATATACGTACATGAGGTGTAATAGAGAATAAGTTTTATTCATTCTTCCATATGTGTATGTTATTGGGCAATATTTAAAATGGGAGACATACTGTAAATGCTACATCCTGTATGGAGCATTATATCAAAGACAGTATTGATGTCAGACACAGATCAGTGCAGATCTGGACTGTCTGTTTTGTACTGTATGGAATTAGACACACTCTTCCTACAGTTTCTGTAGCTACTAGTGTTAATGGCTTTGTGTGTAATTCATATAGCAAGCACTGCCTCATGCTGTGTGTGTTTAAAGGAGTGAAACAGTTATGAGGAACTTGATCTGTGTAGCTTCAGGCAGTGGTAACTCTATCCGTGTGACCCTGAAACACAGACAGGAGGCCAGGCCCAGCTTTGTTTATAGTGAAAGGCTTTTGGATCAAACAAAAGGTTTGATGCTGGGAGGGTTCAGAGCTTCTGAAAAATAAATGGATCTCAATCACTTAGATGATTAGCTGTATTAGAAACCGTAGCCAAAATAACATATGTTGTTCAGTTTGTTTATTTCCCCTGTTCTATCACTAAAATGGGCTATATGCAATGTACACAGTGTGTCATTGGAGTTAATAATAATAATAATAATAATAATAATAATAATATGGCACTTTTTTGTTAGTTACTGTTCTCACACATAGTGTTAGATTGGAGTAGGGCTGCACGAATAATTGAAAAAAGATTTGAAAAATACAACACATGAGAGATGTTTTATACTTAAAGGTCTTATAGGTCTGTTAAATGGCCTATGGTAAAATAAAAATGTTCATTATATTCCCACACATTAAATATGGGATGTCTCAGTTTTACATTAGATGTGTTTATTTACTGGAAAATCCAAAAAACTGACTATATTGCGGTCTAGGCATACAGTACTGTATGACAAAATTGCAATATTCAGCAAAATAACTGTACTGTACAAAACAACTGTACTGTACAAAATAACTGTACTGTACAAAATAACTGTACTGTACAAAATAACTGTACTGTACTGCCGTCTATTAAAGACATCCCTGCACATAGTTCCTTTAACATCCTAATGTTTCTGTTTTCTTTTCTTCCCTCTCTTCCTCTTTGTATTTTCCTTTTTCTAGTTATAACCTTCTTGGCCAATCAGAGCCTGATGCCCTGGACGCCTGCGTTGTCTCCCTGAGCCACCAGGGGGCCTCAGTCCCACAGTGGGACACCCAGCTCTGAGTTTGTTTTCAACCTGAACCGTCTATCCTCAGTCAAGCTGTTCCACCCTGCCTCGTCTCCCTCCTCTTCTTCTCCTCCTCCTGCTCCTCTTTCTCCTCCCTCCTGGCCCCCACAGGCCCACCTGGACTCCCAGTCAGCCTTCTCCCTCCATGAGGGGCGGGGGGAGGTGCCGGGGGCCCTGGATGTGGCCCCGCAGCCTCTTCATCTTACTTCACCTGGGAACCTCAGGGACCTGGGACAACAAACCTGCCATGATGTGTCAACTTTAACAGGCAAGTCACAAAGAAAACTTCACTTACTCAACAATCTGCAAATCCCTCACTGTACATGTTGATGATAAGCAGTGATGGTTAACTCAGTTGTGAATAGTGTACACTTGTGAGTAAGAGAACAATGTAGGATCATAGATTTGTCAGTAGAGGGCAGTGTGCCATGTGACATAAAGTGCTGCTTCCTTTCTCTGTCTTTGTTTTTCCTCGTACATAAACCCAAACACACATGAATCTTTATACAAACACATAAATGCACACATGTACAAACAACCACTCTCCCACACTCAGACCTTTGTTCAGACCTGCCGGAGTTGGAGATAGTGAGCCTCCTGTCTGAGGGTCAGCCCAACTACACTCTTCGAGCAGACAGTGTGTTTGGATATGACAATGATGACTGGCTGCACACCCCTCTGCTGCCACCAGAAGTCGTTCTGGGACTCACACATGAGCAGATTGAAGAGACCCTGAAGTACTTCTGTGAGTACTGTTTTATTTGCACGTAACATACAATATAGTGTGTAGTGATGGGATTACCAGTGTCATGCTCTGTGGGCTTTGCTGAAATTAAGCCACACTTTATATTCCCAAATGACCTTTGATGTGAAATGTTTTGGGACCAGGTGTCAAAGTCATTTTAGGGCATTTACTTGCAGTGTTTTCTTTTTGCAGTATTGCTACGTTCATACTAGGCGTCATGTTTCAAGATGTTTTACAGCTGAGCAGAAATCCCAGTTAGTTTAATAAGCTAGATGAATACAGACTCCTTGTGGCCATATTTGTCAGTAGAATATGTTGGGTGTAACAATGGAAACAGTGTGTCTCTATCGGGAAGTAAATATAGAAATGTAGGTGTTGTCCCAGCACTTCATGTGACTTCAAGTGAAGTTGTCAAGGTTTGTTGCAAGTTAATGTGTTACTTTTAATGCTTGTGAAGTGGACCACAGCACTTTTGTATTTGGCAAATGCTGCTGAACACTTTAAAAGGAAGGTTATGAACTTAAAGGAAAGGGAGTACCTAGCATCATAGTTGGTTGAAAATAATCTCCAAAATGATAGCCGTTTCAAAACTTACAAAACCAGCTTTGTTGTTGGCTTGAAAATGATACAAAAGCAGCACTTCTAAATAATGATATACAGATTTTTACATGTGTACGTGAGCAGAGGCACACAGGAGTGAAAGGGGGAGGGAGAGGGAAGGCAGATTTTTTATGTGAAAGCTTGGGCACCCCTTGACAAATAACATATTCTGGTGATCTTTTAAGGATATGGCACATATAATATAATATAATAATTTCAGCAAACATTCATGCATAATTATTTTTTAAGTTTTTTAAGAGAAACTTTAGCCAGCTCTTTCAATTCTTGTATTTGGGATGCTTTTTACATTCTTCCTTGCAAAAGGTTTCTAGTTCTGCCATATTCTTGGGCTGTCTTGCATGCACACCTCTCAGAGGCCCATTCCATAAACCTTCAGCTGGATCTCTTGAGGTAGTCCATGGTGGTTTTCAAGTTATGTTTAGGATCATTACCCTGTTGTAGTGGTCATCCTCTTTTCAGCTTCAGCTTTTTTACAGATGGTGTGATCTTTGCTTCCAGACTTTGTTGGTATTTAGTGGAATCCATTCTTCCCTCCACCTTTGCAATGTTTCCTGTGCACACTGACTGCAACACAACCCCAAATTATGATAGATCCACCCCCATGCTTAACAGTTAGCAAGGTGTGCTTTTCATGAAATACTGCTTCCTTTTTCTCCAAACATAACTTCGATTGTGGCCAAAGAGTTCCATATGAACTTCATCAGTCCACAGCACTTATTTTCAAAACGCACCAGGCGTCCATAGATTCTGTTGCAATCTTATTCTATAATAGACTGATTATTTGGTTTTGAAGTGTTGTTTAGGGAAAATAAGTAAGCAAATGATGTTACCTTGGATGTTAGGAGTTGTGGTGGGCATTTTCCGCTATTTTCTGACATTTTCTAGGCGATTCATTACACCAGAAAATAAATGACATTTTAATTGATAGCAATTGGTTGCAACCGTAGCCACATCAGTAGGGTAGTGTTGTCTTTTCCTGAAAATGAAATGAAGTGTGAGTGTTTATAATGACCTCAGTGTGTGAAGCCTAATCTTCCTCCACACACTCACATTTGAGTCACAGATGTCAAATGTCACCAAGCCGATTAACCTGCCGTCACTTGGCTTCCTAAGCAGTTTCCACTGGAGAACAGCAGACGGCCACTCTGACATCATGACGACATTGTTGGCAAGTCAATTTCCAGGGCCGTAGCAATCTGGAAAGAGTTTATAATTAGTTGCACAGGTTGTCTAGACTTGTGGGGTGATGGGAGGTTGTGTGCATCCACACCTTAAATACTATAAGGTAGGTCTTTGTGACCATGTGCATTAGTGATAATATTGTTTTCATATTTTTACCGACCACACCTAAACATTATGATCTGCTGTCAGATTTTAAATGGAGTCTTAGAGGTTCTGTGCTGTAGTTATTCAACGTTTAAACTCACCTTTTGAAGACCTTTTTAGCAGAGCCAGTAAATCAGTGTTTTAATTAGCGACACATAACATTGAACACTCTATATTTACTTTACAGTGATATCTGAACACGTTTCCAAGATATCCTTTACGCCAGATGACCTTGTTTAATAGTGATGGGATTTCATGAGATTGTATGGCTGGGTCCTCATAATGCTAGATAGGCTGTACCCAGCTGATGCCAAGTCACATGTTCCTATCAGGACCAGGACAGACTAACCTGGCTCACGCAGATTGTGCCATGCTGTGCCATGTTGTAGTATTTGACTCTTTTTGACAGGTGGCATATGGTGTTGTTTGTTTTCAGTGTTCTTTACTGTAGCTCACTGCTTCCTTCTCTGTTCCATCTCTTTCTGATTGAACTCCTGTGTTTCAGCTGGTCCTAAATATTATCATTGTGTTATATAGCAATCTCTAAATATTTCTTTTACTGTGTACAATCTGTTGCACTTCGGCCAAATTATTCTTAAAGTTGCAATAATCAATATTTGTATCAATATTTGTGGTATCAATGCATCAAATGACTAATTCTAATGTGGAATAGTTACATGCCGACCCCTGAGTTGGCAGTGCCGTGATTGTTTTGGTTCCTTCTCAATTTCAGTAGTTGCACACAGGCAGATTTGTTTATTGAAGAGATTAACTAGAAAAACAATAGATAATGTTATTTATTTTCTATAAACAGTTGGTAAACAGCATAAATATTTTGTCTCACATAGCATGTGAAACATTACATATTAAACCTTATACGATTTTCGTTATAAATGATTAAACCACAAACCAGTATGACAAGGAAACATTTGAAAACATTCTTAAGCCACACCCAAAAAAACATTGAAGACATGAAAAACCATTGATCCATGACACGAAGTACATTGGACATACTCAACATGCTCAACTCCACTCAGACGTGCAGTGCAGCAAAAGCAACTCACTCGTCTGGTTATATTATAAACATTGTCTGCAGCTTGTTTAACTCTTGTAGTGGAGAGTTGGCAGATTGCAGGTAGACTGCTTTAAATAGTACTGATTGTTTATATATTGTATCAGAAACATGAGCAGAATGTGATGTATTGCTATATTTCTGTATGTGGCAAATTACCTTTCAGGGTGTTTCCTCTGACAAATATTGACCAGCGATATCAGCTCTCAGTCTGCAGAAACTTGTACTAGTGATAAAGTACTTACGTCACGTTGAGTTACAGTAGTGGGTTGAGTTGATTTCAGTGCTTTATTGCCTCTGTTTTTGTAACAAACTGCCGCTCATTAATTAATAGATAGTTAATATAGTTAATATAAGGTTCTTGACAATCATCCAGGTGATATTATGTTTAGAGCAGGTTGAATCAAAGCACTGGACTGGAGTGTTGTTTTTATTACTGGGACGTGACTCATAGATGAAGACCGTGTCACGTCTTTGCTTGTTATTGTGGCCAAAGTACTTACTTAGACATTACTTCCTTATAACCTACATAACCTTTCAGCATTTTTAGTTATGTTGTTATAATACTGGCCTGTTAACTTCAACTGGTTGAACCAGTACTGTAGAGGCTGATATGATTTCCACTTAGCCCATATATGTTTCATTTAGATATGCTGCCCTCAAAGATTTTATTCTGCAGGGACCAGCAAATGCTTCCAAAGACAGCACAGGAAGAAGATGGGATATAACAGATGGTGAAAGTTGTGTCTCAACTGTCTCTTGCGTGCAGCATTTGACCTGAAACGGTCAGTTTGTGTGTGAAAAATGAATGAGGAGATTAATAATTGATTGTAAGAAAACTGCTGTGTCTAGGATAGCAACTGCAAGGGCAAGAGATGGGCAGAGACAAGGCGGTGAATATGATGAAAGGGTGTAGAATGACTGGATCATCACAGCACAATGGAGTTTGATGGAAGATTCACTGGAAATTCCTTTGTCCCTGATACCAAGGAAATGATACAGGATGTAAAACAATCTTCTTGGTTGCCCTAATTCTACAAAAGAAATGAATAGAGGGAACGAAAAATGACATTTTTTCCCCCCTCATTAATCCCTGTCACATAAACACATAAAATCATAAAATGTATTCACCCTATTGCTTCCATCAGACCCCCGAGAAGTGGGTGTGACTGTCTGCATCACTGTTACGCAGAGCCCTCTCTCTATCTGCTCCTACGTATGTGCGCAGACCAAGAACAGCCATTGGCATGAGCGGAACCTACCAACTCCCTCAAATTCACAGGGGTGGGTGGGCTTAATCCAGCATCCTTTTATACTGCATCAGCTTTCCACTCCTAAATTATTTCCTCAATGAAAGCCTTGTGATACTTATCTTTTTGTGCTTGGACAAGGTCAGTGTGATCAATATCAGCTTTTGCAGCTCGCGGTTTAGATTGTCCTTCCTCCTTCACCCCTCCTCCTCTTCCTCCCCTCTTTTCTTACCCGGTAGTCCAACGTGGCCAGGTGAACGGAGGCAGGCATGACGACAGATGGCCTTTACAGTCTCTGGGATTATATATTAACACCAAGCAGCTCAGATTCTCTTGCACACACAAACAAAGGTGTATACACCCGCTCACGTAGGCTAGTGGATACTGTTTTCCTCAACACACAGCCAGCAGAATGATGCCAGGGACAACACTGGTGTTTCACAGCACAGCAAACGCTTAGTAGAATTGGAAGGACAAGGGATTTAACTGATGGACGGAGAGACGGAGGGCAGCTTTTCTCTGTTCACCATGGAGGTGTGGAGCTCCTCAGCATCTGAGGAGGAGGAAGAAGAGAAGAGCACTTCCAGTTTTGTGGATGAAGTAGTGGTGGTGGAGGAGAAGAAATGCCACAACAGCAATAGCAATAACAATAACAACAACAAGGAGAGCCTTTGCCGGGAAGTAACACAAGGTGAGATAAAGCCGTGTGGGATGAATCAGAGGATAGGCAG